TGCCCGTCTGTCTAGCTGTAAATTTTTCACATTTTCAACTTCTTCTCAAGAACCGTATGGGCCAATTCCAACTTAACCTTGGGTGAAGGGGATTCAAGTTTGTTCAAATGAAGGGTCACGCCCTCATTCAAGGGAAGATGATTTGGAATTAATGAAAATTTGGTGGTATGTTTTTAAAAATCTTCTTCTCAAGAACCACTGTGCCAGGAAAGATGAAACGTATGGGGAAACATACACAGGTTGTGTAGATTCAAGTTTGTTCAAATCATGGCCCCGGGGTAGGGCGGGGCACAATGGCCAATCAAAGTTTTACATAGACATATATATGAAAATTCTTTATAAATCATCTTCTTAAGAATAGCGAAGCCATGATTGGTCATGGGACTACTTTTAGATTTAAATTTTTCAATAATAAACCAATTTCTACTTTTTCCTAGCTCTATTGCTTAGGTGAGCGATGTGGCCCATTGGCATCTTGTTTTACGTGCATGAATGTTGTACTGTCTTTCATGATGTAACAAAAGATCCGTCACTTTTGAACACCAACAATTGAAAATAAGATTAAGTTCCGCCCATTCTGTGACGCAAGCGGTCTAATATCTCATCGACCGGTCCAACATTTCATTCTGAATCAGCGGTCCAACATCGATTTTTTTTATGCCCGCTCAGCAAAACAATAAAAATGTTAGACTTTTCCGTATAGATTTTTATAATAATTTTTTAAAAGTATAACAAAATTTATATTTCTCTGCAAAGATACCCCTCGTGTGAATAGACAAAAACTTTGGATGAACCTGTTAAATAACAATTCATTATCGCTGGAATAAGGGAATTTTAAAATATTTTCTGTTGATTTATGATGTTAAAAACACAAGTTTAACAAAATTGTGGAGATTTTTAGACATAATTTTCAAATAATTCTGATTAAACTTTCATTAACTTATTTCCATCGCATTTTAAAACCCAGAGGCGACTTTGAAATTCAATAGCGCATTTTACTATTTTTGAGCGATCATCTGGCACAGACTACATACAAGCTAAGTTTTATTTATTTTTTGTAACGGTATATTCATCAACTTTCTCAGCTTCCTCACCTCAATGCACATACTTGTAATCCCGGCTAATCTGTAAAGGACTATTCAACGAGGGAATTTATTTTATTTAATCCCAAGTTTTCTAATTTTATCACGTCTGATAATCAAAATAATGTAAAACTTTTGCATCGTGATTTGATTATAACGACCTACATCACATGTATTATCACAAGACTTTGGAGCTTTTTACTGGTCTACAAGTAAAATGAAAAAAAAGGCGAAGACAACGACAAGTCATTGATCTAAAAAAAAAATCCAGAGATAGGATTAGGAGCCTATATGAAGAAGAAGCATTCCCTTCAGACCGGTCACATTGTGAGCCCTTTGTAATAATTAGGTATAGAACAATTTTGTCCCGTTTTAATTCACCTTTCCTGTTTAAGAAATTATGCCATATTTAGTGCTAAATCAAAGGCTTAACTGGGCCTAAATACTACATGTAATTATATAATCATACCTACAAAAACTGACTGGAAAAAAGTAATCAAACCTTCATACTGTGGTAAATATTTGAAATTATCAATCTAAAAAAAATCTTGTACACATAAATCTAAATTTAGATCACAACTCCAAACGTACTAAATAAACACCAATTCTCGTCTGACCACCCCCTCCCAATCCGAGTTTACATCTGTGTGAGTTTGTTTAGGTCATGCTCTTGATCATGCATTATTTCTGATTCGTAAAATGATAACGATAATATTGAATTATTTTGGATGAATTCCTCCTTCTATGTACAGGAATGACAAATTCGACAGGGGTTTCTGAAACAAGGGGTGTGCGCATTCATGGCGCTGAGCCAATGTCCATATATCTCCCAAAGTTAATATGGATTTTTTATGTATATGACTCAGATCATTTCGAACTATAACTTTTCTTAAAGAATAATTCATTTAATAAAAAATAAATTTGTTCAAAGTATAAAAAGAATCAATTTGTTTTACATTGCGTGCATAAACAAATTCATTGTACACGTAAAACGTCAAATGACGTCATAGTGCATTTTGAGTATATTACCCGTAAAAGATCCAATATTCAACAACAAATATCTCTGTAACGGATGCGTGTAGCATATAACGTCCATCATAAAAATTGTAGGGAAAGTTCCAAACTTTTGGGTTATGGCTTTAATTTTAATTTTATTTTGTGTTGTAATTTAGATAAAGCAAACAGAAAATAGCTGAAAATCAGTCATTTATGCGTAATTTTCTCAATTTCCTGGTAGGATATGCAATATTCACGTCAGGTTTATGATAATTTCCTAACATCAAATAGAAAAACTTTGTGTAGCAAAATTGTTCAGTTTCTTCTGTAGTTTAAGAAAATATAAATTGTTTTGTGGTATCTCAATTATTAACAAAACGCCAACATTTTTATATCTGTGATGGTGAAAGTGCGTCCAAATGCGTCTCTGGGGGTTAAAGGGTTAACACGCCAAGCATGATCCTTAAAGAGTTCCATTGTTATTCTCGTCCCTCTAAGACTTTCTCGGTTCTGTCAGAAGAAATAAGTTAACAAGAGGCCCATGGGCCTTATAGGTCACCTGAGTATCATGTAACAACTTTCCAGCAATTGTATTTGGTTCGTGTTTTAATCCAAAAGCCATGAAATTCACAAATTTTGAAAGAGGCACCATTGCTTATCAAAGGGCAGATTTCAAAGCATTAATTTATTTTTAGTCAAAGTACACCCCTGGTACCCCTGACCCAGTGGCCCTGAAATTATCTATTTTGAAAGAGGCCCCTTTCTTCATTATAAGGCCATCATTTTTTTTATATTTAGGGATAGTTATGAACATGAGAATAAAAAAGTCCCAAAGGAGAAGGAAATAATTTTTTTTTTTTTGATAAATCAATTATTAATATTTGTACATTCTTTTTTTATGCTATCCTAATAGGCTCCTTACCACTGGACACATACTGCTTATAAATAGGAAAGTAGAATATTTTTAATTATTGCTCATAAATTTTATCATCTGCCTATTTGGGCCAGTTATATAAATTTTGTGATGTTGATCAAAATATATTTTTAAAAATAAATTCTTTAAAAGTCTTTCAATATATCTTGATTTTTTTGATATGTGTTAGGTGAATGTGTAGACATTGTTCTAAAATTTACTTGATCCCTAAAATTATAATTCCTATCGTAAAACAGACAGGGAGTATTGGGGAGTAGGGTGAACATTTTTTCAATTAAGTGTAAAATAATTTTTCTGGCTGATACAAATGATACTACATGCCTGTGTATATTTGTATATTCTTGCCTTTTAAAAGTTGAATTTTTTTTTTTATTTCTTCAGGTTATTGTTTATTTCTTCCTCAAACATGTCAAATGGACTTAACTTCTCCCATAGTTTTATTCATTACATCTGATGCATAAGCAACCCTTTTCTGAAGAATGATGCTTAGACTGTAAGCCATAACAGAGGCCTAAACAATGTCGCTGGCAATATGCAATAGCTACCACGAGCAGTTTAAAACCTGGGGGAGGAAAATAATTTACAGACAGTTACGTTTGAAACGAACACATACTTTAATTATCTCACCAGCATGTCATTGTGCAACAAAGTCGTCAGCATTTTATTTGTCCTTTGAACGGGTGAAACGTTTTAAATAGCACTCTTATCGATGAATTTTACACTAAAACCAAACTATCTTCTCAGCTTTATTTACCCGCCGTTTCATCGTAAAACCGGAAGTGCGAGTTCGTAAATTTGATATCTCGATCCCGACTCAAATTTGACATAGGAAAGAAAAAAATTGTTTTATTTTTTCTGAAAATTCAAAACCTTGAGTGGAGGGTTTGTAAAAATGAAAATAAAATAAATCATGGCCTTAAATATATAATTAGATCATTAGCATATTAACCAGGAGCAAAGGATAAGATGTTCAAAGAATTCATGTATTTTCACTATATAATCAATAGAGCCCCGCCCTAACACCAGAACCCCTGCCCCTGGGGCCATAAATTTCATAATTTTTGGTAGAGGCACTCTTGCTCATCATAACTATGTACTTAGTTGGTTTATTTAATACCCAGGAGCAGAGAAGAAGATTTTCAAAGAAATAACGCATTTTCACTACCTACTTATTTAGCCCCACCCTAGCACTAGAACCCCTGACCCCAGGGCCATGAATTTCACAATTTTGGTAGAGGACTCATTGCTTGTTACAATCATGCGAACAGTTTGACTGCTTGATGTCCAGGAGTAAAGGAGAAGATTTTTAAAGATTGCATTAATTTTAGTGGTTTTGGCCCCACCCCTCAGGCCCCAGGGAGGCAGGGATCATGAAATTCACAATTTTTGTTCCCCTTTACCCATAGATGCATTACGCCAAATTTGGTTTAAACTGGTTCAGTGGTTGCAGAGAAGAAGCTGAAAATGTTCAAATGTTAACGGACGACGGACGACGCACGACGCACGACGACAGACGAAAACAGATAGCAATAGGTCACCTGAGTAAACTCAGGTGACCTAAGAATTGAGTAAACCATTGATAATAAATTGTGTTACGTTAACATTTAGAGGCTACTGTATCATAGTTGAAATAAATCAAAAAATTCTTAATAATGACTAAGAGACTAAGAGTCAGATAATTGTTTCTTTATTTTCATATCGAAGTATCTGAATCTTTAATTTGATTCAAGAAAATTTATACTGACTTTTCATATTTAAAGCTAATGAATATAAAAACCTCTGTACAAAAAAAAAACAGACAGTAACTAGGTTTAAAAACAGTTTTCATTGTTATATTTCAAATTGCAATTTCAAAACAAAATATTTATGACAATTCATAATAACAAATAAAATCGATACTTAAACAACGGTAAAATATAGATAACGTAAGAGTAAGCCAATCGCTTTTCAGTCATTGATTAAAGTACGATATATATATTGGGCTGTTGGAAGACCCTTTGGCAGAATATCAAAGATTAACAAAAACGCAGAAATTTTATATCTTAAAAAAGTAAAGACAAAAATGGGCAGTCAATTGGTTATCTCCGTAATGGTTGGCTTCTTGGCTTTATCTAAAGCAAGCATTATTTCTCAGAAATTTATTGCAATATTTGAGCTGAATGATAACATATCAAACTACGAGATTTTAGGAGAACAGAATTCTAATTCTTTGACCGAGTGCGCCGCGATGTGTCAAAGGGAGTGCGTCTTAATTGGTTTTAACCCTGAAATGAAGAAATGCCGTACCCACAAGAAAATAATAACGTCTGGGATATCTAATGAGGCCGGTTGGAGATACTACTCGAATAACTGTATGTTGTTTTCTTTCTCTTTGCTTCTTTGTTTTTTTTATAGTTACTCTCGAAAAGACAAGATTTTTTTCGTTGACATTTCTTTTAAAGTAGTACAAGTGTATTTTCAACATAATTAGTAATAATATTCATTTAAGCTTTATGACAAGGATCATTCTGAATTACAAATAAATTTTAGCTTGTAATTAACTACAATATCGACAAAAAACTCACCTTAAGCTAGTTTCTCGAAATTTACGAAATGTTAAATTTCACATACATTATATCATACAAAAAAGAAGATACCATGATTTTTCGACAGCTATTTTATGGTCCAAATGGTTTATCATCTGATCTACAAATGCATTTTTTAAAACATTTTTTCAATCAACAGAGTATTGAAAATACTTAGTAGTTGTATTTTATTTTAGATACTTTTCATTGTGTCATAAATCAGAGATTTGTAGCAATTAGAAAAAAATGATTTTAGATAATGGGGAACAGTTTAACCTTATCTGCATTGTACATGTAACATTTTAGCTTCAACAGTTATCATTTATATATCATGCAGGCATTATATTTCCTCTCATTTCTTGTACATACGCATAATATGGTCCCAATACTTTTTTTAGATTGTGTTTTCTCTGCCATGCCCAAAGATTGTAACGAACTTTGTGAAGATGGACAAGCTACTACAGGGGTGTATGATATATACCCCTATGGGACCATTACCAGTCCTGTCCGTGTGTATTGCGATATGACGACAATGGGCGGGGGATGGACGGTATGTAGTTTATTCTAAAATGTTGTTTTAAGATTGTAAGATAAAAATTATGAATATTTTGAGTTTATATCATAATAATTGATTGTTCCAAGCAATAAATTGAATTGTAATGCATGTTAATTTTCAAAGGCCATTCAGAAACGCGTAAACGGATCCGTAAGCTTTGACAGGAACTGGACGGAATATAAAAATGGTTTTGGTTCACCGGAACAAAATTTCTGGGTTGGTAAGTGTAAATCGCTTTCAAATAAGAACTTTTTATTCCTTCAAAATTTTGAGGATAAAAAAATCTTGTTGCAAGTAAAAAATTATAAAGCATAATAAAGATCTGAATTTAAAACTAGGAAATACGTGTTCTAGGACATTCACATTTCGTGTTAAATTTATATCTTAAATGATTAGAAAAAAAAACAAAAGAAGAAAATCATATAGCGACATATTTTTATGAGACCAAATTAAGCATAATTGTCTGCAGCTATAAGGGAAATAATTTGATTTTTAACTACGGTAGATTCATATTTGTAATAGAATTAATTGTATTGCCATGGACTTTTCAGCTGATTTCAAATATATCTTAATACAGGAAATGACATAATCCATCAATTAACAAAAGAAAACTCATCATCCCTTTATGTGTCCATCACTCTCCAGAATGGTACAACGCTTTATGAAATGTACGACGGATTCTCTGTCTCCAACGAAGCTGGAAAATATCAACTCTTTCTTGAGGGACCTGCTACGGGAACCTTAGGTAAGTGTATTCACGTTAAGTTCTTAAAATTAGGTTCAAATTACCCATACCTACCTTCCTGGTCCTTGTTGCACTCGGAGGCACAATGGGCAAGGACGCAAATTACGCATTTTATTATAATAATACTTTTCTTTATTGAAAGATTATTAAGTTATGAGGAAAAAGAGAAAGGTACGGTTTTTTCTGATATTCTGTATAATTTTTTGATTCCACACTTATTAAGCATGTTTAATATTTCAAAATATCATTTGCAGGTACAATTCACGAACTCCGCTTACATTTAATTTGTTATTGTCAGTAGTTAAAATTTCAAGTTATATGTTTAAGTAAAAAGAACATTATTTTCACAATCAAATCTAGGAAATATATTTGCGCAGGCATTGTTTTTGAACTTGGACTTCCTGATAATTTTTAATAATTCACATTTTATCTACCACTGAAAAAAGAAATTTACAGAGCGTAATTGATCTATGATATCGACATCTTCACGAAAATTTGTTGTTCAAAGAAAATTAATTTATCGGAAACATACTCAAATTAAAAAAAAACAAATTCAAAACACCTCAATGGAAGGATATTTAGCAGAAAATTCTGCAAATCTGCACATTTATAAAATTTAATGCAATGGAAATTTAGCCTCACATACTTTTACTCGGAGAATATTTTCCGTTTTGATATTGCTAAAACTATTTAATATAGGTCTTAATTTATATTGTTAGACTAAGTTTTACACCTTCCCTCAACAAACTTTGCCAAAAAATGAAAATATATTAAAGAAGTCAAGATCAAATTTACAATATATTTTGCCTGAAAATCACATATTTTGACAAATATTTCAAAATTAACATCACTGACCCCACCTTTTTCTTTCATTATTTTAAACTACTCGATACTTGTGACTGATCAGCACTAAAGTCGTAAAAAGTTTGATATAAGAAAAAATTTTATTGCCTATTATTTTTTTTAATACCCCCAAAATATTATTTTTTAGTGCAAAAAGGTCACACAATAATTAACGCGCATTAATTTGCAAGATTTGTTTAATGATAAATATTATTCAAACTATTTTACGTAAAATAAGATTATACTTATTGCCATGCTTACATTTGATCAAATATAATAAGGGTTACATTAATTAACCAAAGAGATGAAATTTAAGTGCAAAAAGGTTAACTTAAATGTACCGTAGATCAGTAGGATGCACACTGACCCCCTATTTTCTTTGCAATTTTGAGTTACACTTTATCAAGTACTTATCCAAAATATACTTCTCAAAAAATCCTTGATATAACAAATTTCAGGAGTGTCTTACCTTAACAATTGTGAATTGTAACCATTACAATAGGACCGTTACATATGTTCCCCAAACGCTTTCTAAATTGTGCTTTATTTCTGTATCAGGACTTTTTTATTTGCTCAGTATTTCATTTAAGTATAAAAACTACAATTATATCATTTAACATTTTGCATGCGCGAACACGTGCATACATATGCAAGATGATCATGGGATGTTGGCTAAATAATTAACATATATTGATATACTAAGAATAAAAAAAATACGGATATAAATATTACCATTTTAAAAGTATATTATTCATTTCGCACATGCAAACGTGCATGCATGTCCTTGCATTAAGTTTTGATAGTAGCATAATGTTGGAATCTATCATACCTTTTTATATTCTTAATTAAATCCCATTTTGCCGATAAACAAGCACGTGTGTACGTGATTCTGATAATTCTTATATATCATGCTGTAGATCTTAATAAGGAAAGACAATGTTTGAAATTTTTAAGAATTTTGACGAAAAACAAGAAGGATATTGAGACTTTAGTTTCACCAATCAGAAGAGAAGAGCATTTGCATGCGATTAAGATCTTGTTATTTTGACCATGTCATCTTGTCTGTACTAATAATATATCCATACAATATTAGTTTAAAATAATCATCAAAAATTAGAAAAGTTACGGCTATATCCATTATAATGGTAATTCCATGTGTTGCACGTACTCGCTCTTGCCAGCACACGTGGATGTACGTGCTTTCATGAAGTTCTTGTATATCATGCTGCAGATCTTTCATAATGTGTGACTATGTTCAAAATTTTAAAGAATTATGAAAAAAAAATCAGAAATATATTGAGACTTCAGAGCGAAGCACACATGCAAGCGCGTGGAGATCTTGCTATTTAGACCAAGACATCTTGTCTTTACTACTTACATATCCATAAAATATTAGTTTTAACAAAATCCATCCAAAAATATAAAAGTTATGGCCTTATCCATTACATTGGTAATTTCATGTGTTGAACGTACCCACTCTTGCAAGCACGTGCGCGCAAAATGACTTACGTTCAGCAAATCTATATAACATGCCTAATTACCCTAAAAAGGTTTTACCTTTTAATTAGACAAGTAGTTCACTAACGGATAAATAAGTACCCTAGAAAAATAATACTAACTAGTTCCCCAAATGCTCCCCAACTTTCTTTCAGTGCCAATTTTCACTAAACATTTTTTATATACTCAGTATATAAAGGATTTTCATAAAAGAATTATAATAGCTAAAATGATATAAACTATATTTGATTTTAACATACGCGCATGCATGTGTGCATGCATGCACATGCAAAATGATCATGGCATCTTGTAAAAACCATTAACATATCTTTATATTCCGAAAATCAATCAAAACGTTTATAAAAAAAAATAAATGTTACCGTTTTTCAAATGCATTGTTCATTTAACACATTGCGCGTGCGCAAGTGCACGCATGTCCTTGCATTCAATTTTGATAGCAGCATATTTCTAAATTTTGTCTTGTTTTGTTGAGAAGCAAGAAAGATAAAGGCATTTAAAGTTTCAGTCAGTCAGATTGCAGTACAGGTGCATGTACATTTTTTCATGAAGATTCTTATATAGCATGCTAAAGTTCTTCATTATGTATGTCCTTGTTAAAATTTCAAAAGACATTGTCAAAAAACAAGAAGGATATTGTGACTTTAGTTTCAGTCAAACAAAACGAAGAATACGTGCATTTGCGCGAGATCTTTGCAATTTTGATCATATCATCTTCTCTACATTACTAATACATGTATATACATATATCATGAGTTTAGAAGAAAAAAAAATCATCAAAGATTTCAATAGTTAACGTCTTTCATAATTATGTTGGTCATTCCTCGTATTGCACGTGCGCGAAAAATGACTTTCGTCCCGCAAACCTACATAATATGCCTGCTGACCCTAAAAAAGGTTTCATCTTAATCGGATTGCGTTTATCATTGGCGGGGGAAAAAGTACCAAGGAAGAAAAATAATAATAACTTTATACGTTCTTATTCCTAGTGCAACAAGTTGTCTTCCGACCGACTTTTCTTTAGAGTTCTATGGTGCGTCATCCTAAGAAATAGATTTCAAAATGTATTTTCTCATTTACGTTCATTAACAGCAGTCTCTCAACGTTCACAATGATTAACATATCTGTCACGACACCCTAAGCTTGATCAATGATAACAAGACTATTTTCTATTTACAATTTTATATAAAAACATATATGTACAAATATACAAAATGAAAATTAATGAATTTCAAAATGTCTATGAGCGTTCATCTTGGACCACGTTCCCGAAACCGTCCACGTCTAATCCTTGTTACGGTCCATGTCATACGGGTACCACAGCCTTGCACTGAATGCCACGACGCCCTCGACGTCCGTCGCTAATCCAAAGCGTCTTAAGCGTCGACAGTGCTGACGAAACTAGGAAACCACGTTTCCCCACACACGGCCTCGGCCTAGCGTACCACGCCCTTGTGTTGTCGCCTAGGTTGCCACCGCCGACAGCACCAAACCATTGTGTCACCACATTTAAGTACATGTATCAAGAGGGACATTCAACAAATATGCGTAATAATAAGCTTGACCCCGAACGGGCTGCCTTACAACATAGCATAAATGTTTACACATATACTTGTTCAAACATACAGTTTTAACTAATATGTATCACACCGCTTCTTACGGCAAAGCAAAATAAATGTACAATATAACGTTACATTCTAAGTAATAGACTAATATCATTACTTTACGCTTAAACGCACGGCATGTGCACGTGATAAAATTCCCGTATACAATTCAAACACTTTCTGGTGGATAAAAATAGAATAAGCTCAATTTACATAATACTGCATTACTTTTAATATAATAAATGTAAGTAAATTACACTTACCCTGATTGGAGATTCAGTTACCACGAATAAAGGTACCTAACCCTCCATGGACATAACTGTGAAACTACTTTCACTGGTCAAGGAAAACGTGCGCTACCCAAGACAAACCTGACATCACCTTATATAGCGACTGGCCAAATATTTAAATCACCTGAGCATCACAATGGGGCTCTTTGCAGGATAAACGCTAAATACAAATAAGGGTCAACACAGGGCAATACTAATAAAACAAAAAAACAAATAAACAAATAACAAAATCAACTTTGATTGTGACAATATCATAAATATCTATACCTACATGTGACATCAAGATATTTTGATGTTCTCATTTTCAAATTATAAGATATTAAGTACCGCTGAAAATCACACTGAAACAATTAATAGTTTAAAAAATTATAATTTAATATTATTAATTTCTTAATCATCTACCTTAAAATCGCTATTCAGAGTCAACATTTTGTTCTCGAAAAATTGAAATTCTCAAAAGTTTATATATTTAAATGACTGTTCTAAATTTTGTTTTTAGTCCTAACCGGATAATTCAGAAATTAGAACATGTCAGTAGTTTCACTGTTTCATAATAGCACGTAGTATGCTAAGAAATATGGGAAGGGGGTAGCCCCTCGTTATTTTCCGAAGATAAGTTTCTTGCTATTAATATAAGTTTTGATAAATAACCGATCACCCCACCCCACTTCACTTTTAGTTAACGAACAACACCCCTCCTCTCCCAACACACACGTGTCTTTGGTATATTTTTGTGAATGGGAAATTCTT